CTCGATTTTTCTACCTGCGCGTTAACCTACGCTTTCATTGGTTTTACGCCCGCGTAAAACAGCTCGTGGCAAGCGGCGCGTTACGCAACGGCCGCTGAATAGCAGGAAAGTTTATGAGCCGACAAGCTGAAGATGCACATGCCTTTCGCCGTGACGCGCGTTATTAACGTCATCTTCAAAAGTATTTGAAAGAAATGGTAGAAACGCAGAAAAATGTACGAAAAAAAAAAAAAATCACACGTTTACAACGAGAACTTCTAAATCTTACGAGGTTCGAAAACGATCCGTCCACGTGACTCGCCTCGGCACGGTTTCTCAATGCGCGTCATCCTTAAAAGTATTACTCTCCCGTTTGAAAGAAGTCCAGAAAGATGATGACGGAAAAAAATGCACATTAACGAGAGACCTTCTAAATCTTATGAGATTCGGAAGCGAGGTCCGGCCACGCGACTCGCTTCGGCGGACGGTTCCTCAATTCGCGATCTCTCCATGAGTCTCCATGACTCTTCGAACTGAAGAGAAGCGGAAGGGAAGGATACTCCTGGTACTCACATGAAATTATCCGTGTGCCTGCGGGAGTCGATGTCGTGCAACTCCTGGAGGTACTTGCGACGGCGCTCCTCCTGGTAGACGCGCCGCATGTTCTCCGCGCTGCGACGCGCGAGCTCCTCCTCGCTCAGCGGTTCCTTCGCCTCTGTACGCACCGGCGAGCGATAGTGAATCGTCACCTCACCCTCCACATAACGCCTCGGCGATTCTGCATCAAGCGAGACAAGCGTTTTATCGGCACCGATCGTACCTCTGATCCGCGAGCGGAACGACGTCGTTTTTTCGGCGGTTAGGATTTTTCGGTACTCTATGGGTGGGTCGCTTCGTACATATTTCCCTCTTATCTTTTTACACAAGACGGAACAGCACAACCGAAAGAGAGATCGTTCGACATGCAAAAGTAAGCTGGAAATTTGTAGAATAAAATCTGGTCGTACGACGCTTTATTACCGAGTAATAAATATTTCAACTATTTATTAATTAATAAATAGTTAGTGTAATTACGAAAATTTTGTGTGTGTGTGTGTGTGTGTGTGTGTGTGTGTA